ATTCTACATTTGTTCTACAATTAAGCACCAACTGAAACCACTTGCACACAAAAATCACACACAGTGGCTTTAGAAGCTAGACATTTTTAAAAGCCAGTTTTAAGAACACATATTGTTAGCAACAGAATAACTGTGTGACTTCACAAAAGTATTAATTATTTATGAGCAATAATCAAATAAAAATGACAACTCATGAAAGGTCTGCGATCCCATATAAAACCGTTTTAAGTGGTATTTAAAATAGCACGCTTTGTATGATGATCTTGATGTGAATGCACTTAGGAGCATATGAAGAAATGGTGACCAGTAGGTGTAGTTGTACGGAAATCCCACTTGTGACCCAAACCAGTCTTCAGTCGCTGGGGTATATTTTTAGAAATAGCCAAAAAAAACATTGTATGGGTCAAAATGATAGATTTTTCTTTTATGCCAAAAATCATTAGGATTTTAAGTAAAGATCATGTTCCATGAAGATATTTTGTACATTTCCTACCGTAAATATATCAAAACTTAATTTTTGATTAGTAATATGCATTGCTAAGAACTTCATTTGGACAACTTTAAAGATGATTTTATCAATATGTTGATTTTTTTGCACCCTCAGATTCCAGATTTTCAAATAGTTGTATCTCGGCCATATATTGTCCTATCCTAACAAACCACACATCTATGGAAAGTGTATCTATTCAGCTTTCAGATGATGTATAAGCCTCAATTTTGAGAAATTGACCCTTATGACTGGTTTTGTGGTCCAGGGTCACATATATGTAAATGATTAGGGCGTGTTTTATGCAAATTACTATCACAGGCATGTAGTCTCACATAGAATATGACACATTCATTTACCTTCGCAAATAATTCATGTGCATTTGTGAATTTCAATCATGGATATGCAACCACAATGCTTCAGATGATGTATAAGTCTCAATTTTGAGAAATTGACCCTTATGACTGGTTTTGTGGTCCAAGGTCACTTATATGTAAATGATTAGGGCGTGTTTTATGCAAATTACTATCACAGGCATGTAGTCTCACATAGAATATGACACATTCATTTACCTTGAATAAAGCTTCGCAAATAATTCATATGCATTTGTGAATTCCAATCATGGATATGCAACCACAGTGTGTAAAATTATCAAGCAAAATATTTTACCTGTTAAATTGAAGCAGAAGACATCAAACTCTCTACTGGGGTCTGCACGCCACACGACAACCCCAGTCTTGCCGTTGCCACAGTTCGATTTGACCTGAACTCGGGGAACAACAGCTATTTGCTCATCTACCCACCCGAACCTGAGATTTAAAATGTTGATCATTGATAATTTTTTTTCATTTACAGTTTAAAGTATTCATTGGTTAATTCCACATTATACATTGTTTTTACCTGCATGTCTCCAGACCGTGTTTCTGCGCCTCTGCTACCTGTGCTTTGCTTGCAATAGTCAAACCTAGATGCTCACAAAGATCTCTGGCTGCTGATGCACTTAAGGCGTATGTATTTCCGAGGGTAGCTTCAAACACACCGAAGATGGCTCGTTTAGGGTTCACTGTTCATCAGAGGAAGAAAAAAAAATAGAATTTAATTCGTTTTTTAGTTTAGTTTTTTTTTTGTCACATTTTTAGTACTTATTATTAAGCAGCCAAACATTCACATTAATTTCTAAAAAACCATATACATCCACAGATATTAAAGAAAAAAATAAATGCCCATGAGGGACCTACCTTTTACCAACTGGATGTCAAAAGTTAGGCTAGACATGAATAAAGTACTGAAAAGCATCATCATCATCATCATTCTCATCCAGACTCTTGCCATGGTGGTGAAGTCTGCTCTCTCTGAGTCTCTGAGCAAAGTGCGATCGGTGATGTGCGTCTGAGTGCCAAGTAGAGAGGTTATAGGGAGGCTAAACTCCCCAGGGGTGCGGCCTGTGCGTAGAGGGGCGGTTATTGCATAAATGACCCGTACAAAGTGTCATGACCAAGCCGCCGCAGTGGGGAAGAGGAAACAGGAGGTGCGCTGGCATCTCTGATGAGGGACCGTGCTCTTCAGGAGTCTGGTTCAGGCCAAGGCGAGAATGTTTTCACCAGGATAACACCCAGTGATGACTGAAGGCCTGCTGACGCACTGCACCACACAGTCAAAGGTTTCCATCCTTTGTGTCATAGCAAGTATAGTAGAAATCCGGAACCTACGGCAGGAAATCCAGAAGCCGGAGAAATGTTCCAAGTTCCTGAAACAATTGATCAGTGGAAGCCAATTTCCCACACGTAAAAAAAAAGAAGAAAAATCATGTTTTGGTAAATCATAAAAAGTCATAATTATGAGATGATCACAAGGGAAGTTCATTTCCACCACATAAGAAAAAAATCATGCTTTGGTATATCATAATTATGACAAACAATGAGATAAAAAGTCATAATTATGACATAAAAAGTTCAAATTATGAAATAAACTGATCATATCACCATCAAAGGCCAATTCCACCACATAAGACATTATACGTCATTATGACAAAATTTTAAATGACAAGATAAAAAGTTTAAATAATGACAAATAGTCGGAAATTATGATGTAAACTCAATACAAACTTTATGGAAACACATTTTCTCCACAAAAAAACCCTCAAAACAAATAATTCATTTATTAAAAGAAATTATGAGATAAAAATTTTATTATGACATACAAAAAAACAAAATTGAGATACAAAGTCATAATTATGACAGTCAAAATGATACAGTCATATTTATGAGATAAAATATCAAATGATAAGATAAAATGTAATACTTGAGATAAAAGTCTCAATTATGAGATATCATAATTGTGAGATCAAAGTAAAAATTACGAGATAAAAGGTCAAGACAAAATCATTAGTTCAAATCCAGTTTTATCTCATAATCTGGACTTTTTGATTTTGACTTTTGTTTTATAACTTTGAGTTAGTATCTCATAATTGTAACTTTTTATGTCAGTTATGTTGGGCGAAAGCATACTTTATCATATGTGGCAGAAATAGGCTTTCATATAGATCACGGATAGTAAGACTATGAAGAGCAGCTCAAATAGTTTGGTCTTGGAAGAAACTGATGAGAAATATTTGAGCTCATTTTGAAATATCTGACTTCTAACTCTGATACAATGGCAAAGTATGAGATATTGAGATTTTGTTTTTTCTTCCTATAACACTAGAGATGACATGAAATTAGTGTGGTCTTTTTCTTGACGGAACAATTGAAGAAGCAGGGGACAAGCTAAAGTCTCCATTTAGCAATCCCAGTGCAGTCTAAAGAAAAACAAACACACAATTACAGACACTGTAGTTCACTTAATGCAGTTCACTTATTCACTAAAACAAAGAATTAAGCATGTAATATTTTTTGTAAATATTCATTTCTGTGTAAATTATTATTTTTATTGTTGTTACATCAGACATATTCAGATTACATAATTTCTTTACAATTCTTTGATTTAAAACCAATAAAAAATAAAAAAATAAAAAAAAATATTTATATATGTGGCATTTATCGATTTGCAGCAGGGAGTTTGTGGGAAAGCAAGTCTATGATCACTACCAAGTTGGATTGATTCCCTGTTGTTTATGAAAATCACTAGATAGATGATGTGCTCGGATCTCTGGGACTTCTTGGGTTGTTTGTTCGGCTTTGGTCTCTTAAATGGACAATTTCCTCCTGTTCCCTTGTGCTTGCTTATTAACAGGCTGATGTCCATCTAACTTCCTGTGATAGAACGCAGACACAGCTCTATCCCACTTCCGGCAAAACATCTCTCTCTTTCTGTCTCTCTCTTTCTCTCTCTCTCACACACACACACACACACACACACACACACACACACACACACACACACAACATCATCATCTCACTGCCAGGAATTGACTTTGAAAAAATGAGTAAAATAATTTCTCTGGAAAGTACATTTTATTAGAGTAATATTGGTTGATATTGTGTCAAGTGCATGACTGTGATGACCATATTTTGAAATATATGAAACTTGTCAGGAACATTTTGTCCCAATAAATAGAAAATAATCATGAGGTATTTTGTATTTTTTTATATTTTGGGAAAGTAATCCACATATATAACTTTTTTTTGCACTGTGACATTTAAATGCCAATTATTGACATTATTTTTGATAATAATTAATTCTCATTAGGTAATTTGGAATCATAAGATGCATGTTACAATATCTGTTGAATTGTTGGGTTGCCCAATAAAAATATTTAATCACATAATTATTTCTCATTAGTAAAAATCTGAATTTTCTTTCATTACTGAGAAAAAATATTTAATTGTTTAATGTTATTCATTATTTTAAAACAAAATTCATACTACATAATGGTACCATTTGTTGCACTTAAATCTTTATTACAGAAATATGAATTTGCAGGTGAAATGTATTTAAAAGTCATGAAAATGACATTATGCAAACAATCCTGATTATTGTCCTAAAAATGACAAAGTTAAATGAGATAAAAGTCACAATTTAACAAAGTTGAAAATGAGAAGTCAATTATGACTCGTCAAAATTATGAGATACTAAGTCATAGTTATGACATGTCAAAATTAATAGAGGAAAATCCATAATTATGACATTAAAAAAAATATTAGATAAACTCATAAAAAGTTGAAATTGTAAGAAACTAATCGCTACGGAAGCTTATTCCCACCATATAGGAAAAAATCATAAATCATAGTTATGATTATGGTAAGTCATAATTATGATGAAAAAAAATAAAATAAAAAAATCTGAGAAAAAAACTAATTATAGCATAAAAAGTCAACCATAATAAGATAAACTGATCACTATGTAGGCCCATTTCCACCACATAGGAAAAAAATGCTTTGGTAAAATTATTACACAAAAATTGTCATGTCAAATTTATGAGATACTAAGTCTTTATTTTCTACCATGCAATAAATAGGAAATGTACTCTCGAAAAAATCATGTGATTTTCAAACACCTTTATTACAAGGTGAAGTGGCACAACAGTAAACACAAGCACACATGTGCAAATATGAATTCTTTCATGCTAGTTAAAAGTGCTCTTCAAAATAGTGAAACATTCTGAACGATCAAACTCAGTGCTCTGAAGGCACATCCCCACACAACCGTCAACTACCAGTCGCAAAATATTGCACTTTAGGATCTACCTTGGAATGTCAATTAAACATATGACAACATAAACAACTGCAAAGACTTTAAAACATACTGTACCAAATTTTGTATTAAATATTGTACGTAATATTTCAAATATATATTTCACAAAACCTGAGAAGTTTAATCGTAAGGTTCGAGTGGTGTAATCATATATCAAACGTGACAGTCTTCGAAAACATTTCTCTGCAATAACAAGAAATCCCAACTTTCCCAACCCCAAGTATTATAACTTTATCAATTTAGTTTACAAAGCAAATCTGATTTCTCATCTAAGCACACTTGGTCCCTAAACAGTAACAAGTAGTTCTGCTATTTTCTAAATGCAGTGTGAAAGACTGGTAGAAACAATATGAGCTGTGTTAATCAGTCTCTCCGTGATGGATGGGAATAAAGTCATTCTGGGGCAGGGGTCTTTGACCCTACATTCAGTCCGAAAAACGTCTTCTTGCCTGGGACGGCGGACTTCTCTGCAGATGTGTCTCCGCTCTCACTGTAGCGGTTACTGAAGAAGCTTATGACATTGACAAGAATGAATGAAGCAAAAAACAGAGTGAGGACGATCCAAAGCACTCGATTTCGCCGGAAGAATTTTGGGAATATCCGGTCAAAGACCTCTAATGCCTCCTCGAACCTGCTGCAAGGACAAAGACATGACTACTGATTCATTGACAATAATTTGACAGGCAGACACTTTGAAGTCAGTTACCTATTAGTCTTCCTGTCTTTATCAGTATTTCCTCTTGCTTCCTCCTCAGAGTCCTTCTGCTTCTCTTCTGCTTTCTCTTCCTCCTCCTTCAGCTCCTGAAGTTCTTTAGACCTCTTAAGTCCTTCTTGGAATCTACAGTGAAGCTAATTTCTGTTAACTTCATTAATTTCTATTAATATACAGTAGAAGCGGAATTTGTTTTCTAAAATCTTTTATAAAGCTTAAAAATATATTCATTGCATAAAATCATTTTCAAGAATGACTAATCACATTTTTACAAAATCTTAAAATGAAACATTACTTTGAATATCAACCATTTTGCCAACTGTGTGTCCTTATTATTATTATTATTATTTTATTAACTAACTAAATTTAATCCGATTTAAAAGTTCATGCTTTTGTTGTCAACATTGAGGAGTTTTTTTTGTCTAAAATGCAGACTTTTTCTGTTCAACCCCGTTATATTTCAACCTTTAAAAAGGTGAATCACATTTAAAAGAATTTTAAAACATTTGAAGTAAACGTGAAGAGTTACATTTCCCAATTTGAATTATGAAAATAATTTTTCAAAAGTAAATTAATACTTTTATTAACCAAGGACACATTCAATTGATCAAAAGTAATAATAAAGACACAATACTAGAAAAGATTACTGTTTCAAATAAATGCTGTATTTTTAGAATTTTGAAAAAAGAAAATGATATTTCAACAAAAATATTACACAGCACAACTTTCAACACTGATACGTTTCTTGCGCAGCAAACCAGCACATACAATTATTTATTTGACGGAAAGAGTGAATGTTAAAATATATTGAAACAAAACACTTCTTTTAAACTGTACGGATGTTTTAAAATATTACTGTTTTACAGTACCGGTATTTTTGATCAAATAAATGCAGCCTTGGTGAGCATTTTGAGAGACTCAAAAACATTTAAGTACAGAAAAATGTTAAATTGTGTGTGAAGAGTGTCAAGAAAAGAGCTATATAAATGTAACAAATTATTACCGACCCTGAACTTTTGAATGGTATTGTATATTGACCTCATTAAGCTCAATAGTTCAACACTGTTTGAATATTGGGGAAATCCCAATCTCTTCATGACATTTATTTTTAAATGTTGGTAACACTTTAGATTAGGAAACACTATTCACTAGTTGTTTATTAGCATGCATATTACTAGCATATTGGCTGTTTATTAGTACTTATAAAGCACATATGAATGCCTTATGAACATATTTTAGATGTAGGGTTGGGTACCGTTCACATTTTAACCGGTACGGTACCGGTATCGGTACCGGTACACAACGGTACCTTTTTTCGGTACTTTACTCTCTGTGTAATTACGAAAACATTTATTTCAGTGAAAAAATAAGTCCAAAAGTCTCAATTTCAACATTTTGAACAATAGGGCCCTACAATTTTTTTCTTTTTTTCCAGAAATTCTTGTTTTAATTTTTCTGAAAATCAAATGAAGGCATTAAACATTTATTTGAAATCAAATGAAAATTAAACCCTTTTCATTTTTTGGCAAACAAACTGAGGTTTACTGGTGAAATAGGCTAATAATTGTATTATTTTTTTCTACAATTACGTGATTAATCAAGTTGTAATATTTATTTTTATCATTTCATTGTTTTATTTAAATTTGATAGAAAATTGAATATTTAAAGATGTACATCATACTTTACAAAAGTAATACAAGAGTAATATATTTCTGGTACATGTTAAACCGTACTTTTATTTTGACAGGTTGCCATGACGTTTCTGTGTGTAAACACTTTTATTTAAATTTGATAGAAAATTGAATATTTAAAGATGTACATCATACTTTACAAAAGTAATACAAGAGTAATATATTTCTGGTACATGTTAAACCGTACTTTTATTTTGACAGGTTGCCATGACGTTTCTGTGTGTAAACACTATGATGATGCTAGTTTTCTCAAATGAAACGGTAAAATTCTCGCGAAGTGACGCTCACAACAGCTCTGGGGATTAAAGGGGGGGTACAATGCTGTTTCATGCATTCAGAGTTGTTTACACTGTTAAAGAGTTGGATTCTCATGCTAAGCATGGACAAAGTTCCAAAATAACTATTTGGACGTATTAAATTACAAATATTCAGTCTATTGTAAATGTGTTCATGCCGTCATATGGTGAGACGCAGAGGCCGGAAATCACAGCGAGCGTCACGTGGGCCATTCATACCTACAGAGGCAAGCGGTACATGCAGGATTCATATTTAAACCGTCTTTTTGCATTTTAATATTCACAGACACTAGCGATTCGAATTAAGTGGCAGTGGCTACTTTTGATTTATTCGTCCAAAATTTACAAATTCCGTGGCATTCCGCGCTATAGAGTAAATTACGTTTTTATGAATGGACTCCACGATCCCGTCCGCGTTTTCAGAAACCATACGGCCCTAGAAATGTAACCACACTTCAGAACATTTCGGCTTGCCCTGTGTGTTGTTTGAACGAGTTGCAGGGGTGACCTTACGTCATAGGTTCTCTCTTTCTCTCTCTGTAGAGTATGTGCCCAAATGCGCTCTCAGGTACCGAAATTTGGCACCGATTGATTTAACGTGAATCGGTACTCGGTAGTACCAACGCAATTCGGTCGGTACCCTTAAAAGTACAGAGTTCGGTACCCAACCCTACCTTAATCCTACCCTATATGTAATCCCTAATCTAAAGTGTTTAGGATGAGAGTATATGGTTTTAAAATCACCCTTTGGAAAACCCATATTTGTTGACAACTAATCTGAATATTGTGCAGAAAGCATTTTACTACGGTGGTCACCAATGTTTCCCAAGGATTGTTCCCTTGGTTTTTAAAAGAGGTGATAAAAAAATGGCAATTTCCTGAGAATGTTTTTGCAATTATGGAACTAGTCATCTGAACAGACTTAAACGTTTGTTGTTTGATGTGTGCGGTCACACAGATTCATTTAAGCGTTCAGTAGTGCCAAGGGTGTTACCCTTTGTTATATGCTGCTTCTTCAATCTTGGCTTTGATCTCTTCTGTAATCTTCTCTGGACTGCAGACAACTTTGGTTGGCATTGCTTCACTTTCCTGCTCCGTCAGAGGGTTTCCACTGCTTTGTTTCACATAGGAAAGAAGAGACAGGGATGGAGCAATAAAAAAAAATTGCCATTACGCAGATATGTGCGAACTACAGAATTGGCTCTCTCCGTTCATAACCACGAGTGATAACAATAATAACCTCTGCCCTAATGGAGAGACTTAAATGCCACAGAAAGGAACATGGCACACATGCCACTGCAGCTCTGACAGAAGTGAGACATGAGATGTTTAAACAGGTCCTTTGGGAGGTCTTTAAACATCACTCGCTTTACAATAGCACACACATTACTAGATTGTTATTGTCTGTCTGTCTTTGAGTTAAAACTCGGTATTTAGATTTGACAGTACGGTGACAATCTCTTTGCCTTTTCTTGCTAAAACAGTACGGTCAGACACTGATGACTGGTTTTTGTCAAACCTTCCTGTCCAAATGTTTAGATTTAATCACAAAATAGGATGTAATATTGACTGCAGATGGGATTCTTGTGCTATTTTAAGCACACAGAAAAAACGAGAAGGTCGTTTAAGTTATAATCATCCGAAAGGGCCGTGCGTCTTGGTGTACTCTCTTAAAAATAAAGGTACTTTATTGGCATCTGTGGTTCCATGAAGAACCTTTAATAACATCCATGCAACCTTTCCACTGCACAAAAGGTTCTTTATAATGGAAAAAAGTTTCTATATATTGCACAGCCCTGTATCTTAAAAAAATTCAGCTAATTTGCAAAAAAAGGCCTAATATGCTCAGAAGTTCAAAATATATGGTAATACTTTATTTTAGGGTCTCTTAACTAGTTGCTAGTAGTCGTAACAAGCATACACTCTTAAAAATAAAGGTGCTTCAAAAGGTTCTTCAAGCGATGCCATAGAAGAACCATTTTTGGTTCCACAAAGAACCATTCAGTCAAAGGTTCTTTAAAGAACCATCTCTTTCTTACCTTTTTATAATCTGAAGAACCTTTTTTCGCCCCAAAGAACCTTTTGTGAAACAGAAAGGTTCTTCAGATGTTAAAGGTTCTTTATGGAACCATTTAGACAAAAAGGTTTTTTCTATGGAATCGTGAAGCACCTTTATTTTTAAGAGTGTAGTTGTATCTTTGCTCAAAGCAAGATAGGAATCATGTCTTTGTGGCAGTTTTTCTGGTGAGTAAAAGATAATACAAGACATACAAATAGTTGTCGAAAGCAGATATGCTATTAAACGCACATAATATTTTGTGAGGAAGTGTGACGTGCTACATCAAAACAGGCACTATTTTTGGTATCAGCACTCCAAAATTAGTATGAAAGAAACATTGGATTTCCTTCAGAAAATAAGATAATGGGCAGTGTAATTTAATTCTTCACATAAAAATGGTTCTTTTAAGAACAGTTCACCGAAACGTTCTGAGTATCAAAAATGGTTCTTCTATGGCACCAGTGCGAAAACCCCTTTAAAAACCTTTATTTTAAAGAATGTTGGTGAATAAACGTATTTCAAGGTTCCTACACATTTTCCATTTCAAAATTCCATCCTTTTCCAGACTCAAATTTCCGAACCTCTCAGTAGATTTTCAGACCATATTTAACATAAATGGTTCATAGTGCTTTATTTTCAGCTTTATATTTGGTATACAGTACAGTCATCTATAAATATTTTTATTTTCACAGGGTTTTTCATTGATTTTCTTCAAGTGACAACATACAGTGCCCCTAAAATAAAAAATAATTAAAAATACATAAATAAAAAAATAAAGACTTTTACATGCACACAAGAAACTTTTTTGAACCCTCGAGAAACTATTCACATACGTATGGGAATTTTTTTGCATGCTTACGCACTACAATTTCTAGTTTTATATAACTTATTTCCTCTGTGCATCACTGCCATGTGAATAAAACAAGAGCATGGATGCACATGAATTAATAGAGATCTACTTGCTCAAAATTGGGCTTTTCTTATGGTAGTACCTTTAATATCAAGGCCTAATGTCCAATTTAACACATCCTCTGTGGCGGCGCAGAAACCATTACACAAAATGGGCTGATGGCATAAAATTTGCCAAGTTCAAAGGTCTCTAAAAAAGAGTGGCACTGTAAAAAGGTGTTTGAAATTTGGCTTTCATTGTGCCATATTTCAAGGTCCTAGGTCTCTTTAATGCATATTCTGTGGAGGCCAAGAAACCACACTTCAAAATGGGCTGATGGCACAATAGGTGGCTCAGTGTGCATTGTCCTATGTTAAGTTTAATGGTTCCTTGTGTGCACATAAAAGTCAGTATATTTTTCATTTTTGAAAAGGTCTTTGAGGCTATGTAATACGGTGCTAAGAATAAAGCGAGAAGAAACACAAAATGCTTATAACCTGCATTTTGCATAATGAAAAAGTGCATTCATTCAGCCGCATTTGACAATCACTAAACAGCTGCCATGAAACCTAACTTCTTGTATGATAAATTTATTTTCATTAAATTCTTAATTTTCTATCATAAAAATCTAAATAGGGGCAAAAGTTTGGAAAGTTTTCCAGACCTGGAAAATACTTCAATCAAATTCCATACTTTTCCAAACCCCGTAGGAACCCTAGTATTTAGATGTGCTTCTTATCTGCCACGTAAAACATGCAACATTCTCCAGACGCATATCTTTTGATAAGGCTCAAATTGATCCATTGTTTTAAGGAAACTGAGGATGTCAAAGAATGAATTTCCAAGCATTATTTGAAGAATGTGTGCTCATGTACACAGTTTATGAGGAATGTGGCGGCACAGAATCAGGAAAGGCAATTACTTACGATTTGTCAGGCACATCTTGTTGTGTAGGGTCTGAGGAACTGCTGTTCTTAATGGTGTTCACCTCACACTGAAAACAACAGTAGAATACACTCATTCTGATGAATGGCTTTGGCCTCAAATGGTCACCTTGATAAAATGTAGGAATGTAGGAAACTTAAAGCTAAAGCATCATTAATTACATGAGGCTGCTGACAGGCTACAACATAACAGCTGACGAGGCAGTGCGCGTGAGATAGGACTCACCACCACAGGAAGTGCACCGGGTGCAACATTAGGGCCAGCGGCAGCTGGCGTCTGCCCGGGGATGTTCAGTAGATTAAACTTGGGAACTACAGCCACACTGACTCTTCGTCTGGGCAAAGCCTTAGAGAGAGAGAAAAAAAACACACTCTCTGAAACTAAACTCATTTTATCAGTAGGTAGGCACATTCTCTGCCTATCTGATCTGTGTTATGGATGTTATTGGTACAATATTACAAAAGACAGGATTTTAAATGGCTGTTCAGCACCTTAGGTTCAGCAATCATATATTCACAGTAATAACCATATTTTGCCAATACAGGGTTCTTGAGCTGGCTATATGATTCTCTGGAGATTAAAATGGTTTTCGATGTTACATTTTTAAAAGGTTCTTTATGTTACAGGTTCTTCAGATTGGTGTATCTGTTTACAGAGGAAAAGTGAATCGAAACAAGTTTTTTTGTATCAATATTAGATGTTTTCTTAAGAACCATAGAAGTAAAGAATCCAAAATGTGTTGCTTTTAGTCCATGTTTGGGTTGAAGCTTTGAAGTCATATACAAAACTTCAAATGTTTGGGGTCAGTGAAATTATTATTTATTTATTTGTCACTGATAATAATAACAAGAAATAATTCCTGAGCAGCAAATCAGCATACTAGAATGATTTCTGAAGGATCATATGACACTGAAGAATATATTACACTTTTAAAAAATATATTACAATAGAGAACAGTTATTGGAAATCGTACTAATATTTCACAATATTACTGTTTTCAGCTGTTTGTACTGTTGGTGAGCAGAAGAGACTACTAAAATGTTCTTGATAATAAAAATGTTCCTCCTAGTCCTGACTTGCAAGCAAATTTACTACTAGCTACTGGCTTTAAAACATCCTATTTTAGTTGGGGGGGGGGATCTGCACTCTTCAAATAATTTCAAGTTTTTTTTTAAAAGGATAGGTTACCCCAAAAGGACAATTCTCCCATGATTTAATCATCCTCCACTTGTTCCAAACCTTTATGTGTTTCATTCTTCTATTGTACACAAAAGAAAATATTTAGAAAAATGTTAGTAACCAAACAGTTGATGGTACCCATTGACTTCCATGGTTTCCTCCTAGTCCTGACTTGCAAGCAAATTTAATCATAAACTACTAGCTACTGGCTTTAAAACATCCTATTTTAGTTGGGGGGGGGGATCTGCACTCTTCAAATAATTTCAAGTTTTTTTTTAAAAGGATAGGTTACCCCAAAAGGACAATTCTCCCATGATTTAATCATCCTCCACTTGTTCCAAACCTTTATGTGTTTCATTCTTCTATTGTACACAAAATAAGATATTTAGAAAAATGTTGGTAACCAAACAGTTGATGGTAGCCATTGACTTCCATGGTATTTTTTTCCATATTGTAAGTCAATGGCTACCATCAACTGTTTGGTTACCAACATTCTTCAATCAATATATATAATTATTATTTTTTTTTGCTCAACAGAAGAAAGCAACTCACACAGATTAGGAAGAACTTTAACTTTTTTCAAAAAGGTTCCCCTATGGCATCATAGGAGCAGGGTCTCCTGAGGTGTCGGGTTATTTTTAATCCTTTAGCCACAGACTTTTGCCTACCTTTCCCATTTGCACAGACATGGATCTTGATGTACGTGGAACACCATCCTCTGTGCGAAACACATAAGAGACAGTAAGAGATGAAACATAAGCAGCCATGTCTTGGGGGGGGGCAACTGTGGTTTTGATGTCTCTGTTTACCTCCAGTGTCCACTGATCCTGCATAGCAGCGGCTGGAGTTCTGGCTGGCAAGCTTCTTAAACTCCATCAGCTCAGCATGGTCCTTCTCATACGTCCGCTTCAGATTCTCCACGTACTGCATCATCACCTCAGTGGCCTTGTTCATTCTCTTCTCCTGCCACGGACAAAGCAAGGGTTACAAATTATCATATGCACAATCCACAGTGTACTCTTAATCTCTAGGACACTGGGTTTTTTGGGTCTCACTAACAGTAGCATTCAGGACATCATGGAATTATCATGCACAATGTCATTTATCCAAGTAGCACATGTCCTGAATCAACATCCTTCAAAGAACAATGACATCTATATTTTCATATACAATAAATTACTTTATTACGAAACACAGAAAATGCGGTCATTGTATTCGGAGGTGGATGCCTGCTGTTTGGGAACGCAGTCGTGTAGGACAGTTCTGGGAGGCAATTATACAGAAATACTTTGATGACAGACTTTGCTTGGGCATTTCAGAATGACCATAACAACATTTCAGATGCTGTGGAACGAGATCGTACTGCTGGTTCATGCCATCCCATAGCGCAAAGTCACATTTTTTTTTTTATGTGCATGGAGGAATTTAATCGGCAAATGCGTTTCCATCTCTCGTTATTCGCATCAACCCTTTGTCGCACAAGTCAAAATCCACCTCAAGCGAGCGTAAAAACATTTTTTTTTTTTTTTAATTTTGTCATTTCCATCATTTGTTTCTGATGCGATACTTCAAAATGTGCATAAGAACAGGGTGATGGAAACAGCTAATATTGGATTGGATTCTCTCATGAATTGTATTTGTGACGTGAAGTTTGCCCAGTAGATTAAGTAAGTAAGTGGTCACAAGCTATAGTAGGATTTCTGCTTACCACTTGTGTATTCAGTCTATTAACAATGTTACCAGTTGGCTTCTGTTTGGTCTCAAAGTCATAATTTTACATGGCCTAGATTTAATAAAAAATGCTTTCTTCACACTGTGGCCAAACAAGATGATATTCTTAAAATAAAATGATTTATCCCCCAAAAAATGCCATATTAGCTGCCTCGTTTCTGGTTAATGTTATTTTTGGAGCCGCAAGGTTTTTTTTAAATGACGTTAAATCAATTATCAGTAAACATTTAATCAACGTCACACACTCAAGACACTTTAGGCCAATAGGACTGGCAGGTTACCAAACTTGCATCTACTATGCAAAGGTAGACTTAAACTTAGGGTTGCACAATTAATCGAATTTCTAATCGCGATTACAATTATGGATGCCACAATTACGTAATCGTTCAAAGAGGCAATTAATCGTTCAAAGTCCACTTATGTTATTCTGTGTGCTTAAGATGCTTTTTTCTTTCTTTCTACATGTTATCTTAAGGGTTTTTCCATTGTTTTAATTTTAGTTTTAGTATAACACTAAAATACCATTCATATTTTAACTTTTTTTATAGTTTAAAGAAGAAACCAATCCGATGTATAGTTGACATTTGAGGCTTAATACTACAGAAAAGCACAAAGTTTTTCAGTTAGAGTGTTTTCAGCTTGTTTGTTTTCATATAGAAATATGGCATGCAGTTGCTTCAAACAATGGTATAAACATCATTCAGTGTAAATTGTGATAATCGTAATTAATAATCGCATTTCAAGGGAATAATCGACAATTATGATTTTTGTCAAAATCGTGCAGCCCTACTTCAACGGCATTTGTCGTTAAAAGAAACATGATGAGTTTTCAGGATATTAATAAGATGATCATTCTAAGGCAGCAACAACAACCGCAAAATATTTGTATCACCAGTCATTATTAAATTATGGGATGCAAGAGCAAGGCATGGTAAACTGAGGTAATGATACAGTACTTGCAGTGAACTCATGCAGGGCCTATTATTAATAGTGTCGCCACTTGCTACAGATGTACCACTGAGTCCTTCTCCATTCACTTGGTTTACTTTGGCTTAAGGGCAGGCATGAAACTAAATCTATCACAAACATATCTTATCTGCTGGAAAATAAACATTCCCAACTAGTGGCCCCTCTACAGTACCAAGACAAGGGACAGTTTTCTCATGAAAACAAGAAGAGCACATTCAAATGGGGGGCTGAGAGAGACCTGCAGTCACATTAACAAAATGTAACAAAGTTTTGTGTGCAAGAAGGTCCTCTGTCAATAGCACTGAGATGTATGAAGCATCTCCCACAGAAGTCACCTTCAAAGCAAGCAGCTCTCTGTTGTCAGCGCAGTGAATTCGCATCACAAACCTGAAGATGAGTGTTCAATCTGCATGGAAAGATTCTTCGCCCTCACATGAAAAAAAAAACCCCTCAATTGCGCAGATCCAGAAACGGCTGGATTTTAGCCTCTAAATTTCAGCGAGCAACAGCAAAGTTGAGGCCAGCCGCCAAGGTTGTAACGTTGCAGACCAGAGTAAGTTCTGAAAAGATGTCAATGGCGAAGAGGCTTTACTATGCTGAATAAACTGCATTTGTGGGAAAACAGATTACCATGAAATTAATCGACAGTGGTTAATCTAAACATGTTTGCCATTAAACCTCTTGAACTGATCTATTTTTAAAGTTCACACATAAAAAAAACAGACAATTTTGTGACAAGTAGGATTTAGTTCACGGCACTTCTCATTCATTTCCCATGCATTAAGTGACATCTGTGCGTTTCATAATCTGTTAATTGTACTAGAGTTTCTGTTGAATTTAATGGGGGAAAATTATACTGTTTACACAGTGGACGCTTTGGCCTTGTGTGTGTGTTAAAGGGGTCATACCTTTCGGGCTCTGTCTTTACATTTATTTTGAAAGATGATGCTCACGATTATAGTAAGGGGCGTTACATTTCCGACGAGTGCTTGCGGTGTTCGGCCAATCACAATGCACTGGGTCAGCTGGCCAATCAGAGCAGACTGCGCTTGTCGGAAGGGGGGGCTTTGTAGAAAACTAAGCGTTTGAGAGAGGCGGGGCAAAGAGGACCTACAATAATGTACAGTATTTGAAAAATAATGTGTTTTTTGAACATTAAAGCATGTCAACATATTCTGTTACACCAAATACACAAAATAATGATCTTTAAAATAGCATCATATGACCCCTTTAAAGATTCCAGTTTGGATAGAAGAGAATAGACTGTGTTTACAAAAGTAATTAAACTGACACTGCATCTTAACTTTGGGAATATTTGATGATTAGGGATGCACCGAAATGAAAAATTCTTGGCCGAAACCGAACAAAATTAAACACTGGGCCGAAGGCCGAATACAGTTTTTCGAGTTTTTCCCCCATGTATTTTGTCAATTTTTTTCACTATTACATAAATTAAATAGCCAAAATGTGCTTGCTTTTCAAAGAAAAAATCTATAACAAAACAACCATTTAAAAATATTTAACACTGAACATTTTTTAACATTCTAGCAGACATTATATCAACAAATCACAATTTAACTTAAAATTAAAAAGTTAGTAAAATAATATTTTTTGGCCATCAGACCCCCTTCTTGAATCAGGCATGTATTTTTTACTGTACAAATAAAATTTGAACACTGTGTGGATGTTATAATAAATGTATTAACAGAGCTGTTGTAATTATTATCATTATTATTGTCTTACTTTTTATTTTATTTTACAGGACAACAGTAAATTTACAATACTAACATTTATGAATGTTGGAGTTCTTGCTTTTCCTCAACTTTTATTTTGGCGGAAACGCGCAGGAAGACCTCAGCGCTTCTTTTTGTTGACAACAGCAGATTTATAAATGAGTCTCATTACGAATACGTCACACGTATCGCATTGTCACATGCCTTGTAAAAATTCATAACAATGTGACTGAGCAACTGACGACTGTTTCAGCGCAGATTTTCCCCTGGATTGGACCCTGGTTAACAAGCAGATCCGCCACGAGTTCATGCAGCACTGTCAGAATAGGCTACATGCAATTCGTGCATGTAGAAAGCATGACATTCTGCAGTTTATTTAATTGTTTAAGGCCATTTGGCGATTTGAATCATCATACAGTAACCAGCAACAATCACCCCTTCCTCTTCTCATCGAAGACATGCGATGCAGAACTAAACAGTCTCTCGCTGTCGGTGCTTGTAATGATTTTTGCATCTTTCTCCGACAGTTTAAATGCTTCCACACTGCTGACATGTTTGTTGCATTATAAAGAGTGCACGACTCTTACTCTACGCTGGTTGCTATTTGATCACATCACGTCATTTGGTACAATTGATTCGGTCTTTTCGCTTTTTTGCTTAATTTCGGTTGCCGAACATTCGGTGCATCCCTATTGATGATTATATTGTATGTGTGCTGAAAAAACACTCACTATATCACGCTATACTCGCACCCAAAAGCAGAGGCATTGAGCAGCACTGTGCTTTTTTTTGTGCTGCAGAGTAAATACACTGTCATTGGTGTTAACTAAATTTTTCCTGAAATCCAGTAACTTCAATAGAAATCTGCATGATCAGGAGTTTCGTGTGACAGCGAGATTTCCCCAGGCAGATTTTGCATCAGGTTCATTTGGTCATGCAAATTCACCACTTCACGCTGTGCTTCATACATTGCAACACTATTGACAAAAGACAACTAAGCATTTTTTGTCTGTGAAATGTCCCTGTAATTTTCTTAATGTGGCCACACATTTAATGGTTGACGGGATGCAGCTATGATGAGCATCTCACCTGTCTCACAGCTCCCACCATTTCAGCCCGGCTGGAGAGGCGGTTGGCCAGGCGGTGCAATACGGCGATCGTTTCGAAGAGGTGCTGGTAAAACTCTCGCTGCTCCATGTTCTGCCACAGTGACACAGTGTTCTGAAATGGGACGCCAACAACATTTAGTTACATTCCAGTTATTCCCAACATGTGTGTTTTTGTGGGCTGTTTACATTCGGGTCTGACCTTGAGAGTGTTTTTAAACTCTTCCAGTTCCTTCTCCGTGTTTTCCTCAGTCAGGTTGCGCTCCCTTTCCGCCTGTTTCAGCCGCGACTCCAGCGTGTAATTGTCGTTGCGGAATGCCAGCGAAAGCTGCACAAAAGCGTTCTGCAGGGAAAAACAGCAACACGGCCATTAAAAGACAAGATGCATCAATTCACTGTGAAAGTATTTGTCAGTGTGAAAACACTTGTGATCTGTGAATCCATCAGATTTCACCAGTTTAAAATCATTAAGCCTCAGGCACAGTGGAAAATACACATGCAAAAGTCATATGGAAAAGTAGTTACTTTACATAACTCTCATTCTCAGGACAGTGCTATGTCAGATACAATTATTACATTTAGTCACATTATTTCATTTGCCTGTTTAGTCTGCAATGCAAAATATTTTTTTTACACAATATTCATTTTTAAAGCTATTTATAGAGTAAAAATAATCCAAAATGAAAATGTTTCGAAAAATGATACTGAATAATTAATACGCCCTTGCTGAATAAAAGAATACATTTCATTCTTTCTTTCTTTCAAAACAAATCTTACAGAAAAGTAGTATTCATTTGATTTGTTGTTTGTAGGTTTTAATACACTAACTTCTGCATGACAGATAAATAACTTGACTTGACATGAACTCTGGATCTAACCAGAGAAAGATGTAGGAAAGCAGCAATTTTATGGGAACTTTACTGTCAGGATCAAAGAGTGCAGCGGCAGTACAGCCAGTATTGTCTGAATATTAGAGAAGAAAATACGTCCAGCCCTCGACCCTCACTAGCGTCATCCTGGGAGCAGACTGTATTCACAAAGGCATGTTTGTTTCCTCACAGGGGACAGGAACTCACTAAAACCCATCAAATTGCCATGTCCTAAGCCAGGCTCAACAGCACAGACAGCCATGGCCTTCACGGACACATCAAAACGGCCTTATTCTGGAAAACACTGTATTAAACTAGTGCAGCTGTGATGCAATTATGATCAGGGGCGTGTCTAGAGCATTTTAAATGGGGGGGCCAGTCGGGGGCACTGGCTCAAAAGAGGGTGGCCGAGGGTGTATGTTATAATACATCGTGTACACTCACTAAACAAAGAGTGTCAGAGACAGAGACAGAGCAGAGCCAATTCATAAAAGAACAATATTTAAAAGCACACGTCCAGTTTTGTGTGAGTGAAGGAAATCCGCTTGGGAGTGGAGAGATTCGTCCTCGCGCACATGGATCGCGTAACATTATGCGCTCTCGACATTGTCATTAAGATCACACTATAGAAACCGCCTAAAATTAAGTATAAAGAAGAGAAGAAAGCAGCTCTAGGCAGCTGCCTACACATGCCAGAATCCGCCACTGCCAGATGCAGTTAGAAATTTACTAAAAACAAGCCTATCGCAAGACATCTGGTAGGGGGGGCACCTGGGGTGGCCAGCCAAATTTCAGGGGGGGCCGGTGCCACACCTGGCCACCACGTAGACACGCCCCTGATTATGATAACCTACTGATTCAGGGGCCCTCGGACTGTATTTTCGGTTACACTTTACTTGAAGGGGTGTGCATAAGACTGACATGACACCTTTATAATCATGACATGCCACATACATAGTCATGACATGACACATGTCATGAATATGAAGGTTTTTTTATGCATGTTTATGACAACTGTCATTAAGTGTCATTCGCTCAGTTATGTAATTTTTAATGCAAA